AAGGTTTCAACTTCGTAGTGCTCTAACTAGAGGTTGTGAACTTTTTTATGTTTGGTTTGACTCCCCTTGTTGCAAAGGAATAAAAGGGTAAACGAGGTTTGAGCCAATCAGGAAGAGATTGTGGGGAAGTGAAGTTGTGGCAACATGGAGGGAGAAGGTTAAGGTTAAGATTGTTGGGGTTCGATGATTTTGGTGTTGCAATGTGGGACATGGCAGAGATCTTGAGTAAATGGTGACGGTTGAGAGAAATAGAGAAAGGGATAGGTGGTGGAAGCGATGTGGGACTTTGAGTATAGGAAGAGGGAAAACACATAGACGGTGGTCGAAGAATGAATAGATAAAGATTTTAAGTATAAGTTATGTATATCTATTATTGGGTTTAAATTAAGAAAAAATTAACAAAATATTGGAGAGAAGAGAAGTTTGAGCATAAAGAAAAGAAATAACTTTTATTTTCTTTTTTTATTTGTTCTGTAAAAAGATAAATAATAGTAAAATTACTTTACATTAATAATTATAGTTAGATCATTCTCTTTTAGGAAAAAAAAAAGTTTAATCTACCAAAATTTTATTTAAAAATTAAAAGATTTTTTCAATTCTCATTATTACTTTATATTTTAGGATTCATTGACGAATACTATGAGATACAAACTTATATGATACGATAAAAGTAGGATGAATTCTTATTCTATTTTATATTTAGTATATATTAAAATAATAAAATGTAATATTATATCATCTTGTTAAATTTTGCGATAAATAAAGAATAATAAAATAAAATATAAAATATATTTAAATGATAAAATTAATTTTTTATATCAAAATTAATATACATTTTAAAATTATTTTCTACTTTTTAACAAAAATATATATTGAAGATAGGTTGCCCCGGCAGTCTAGCCTTGACCATTGTTATTATTATTTTTAAGCCTTCTTGAATGCCGAGACCGCACCCGATCATGGAAATCAAATGACAGTCTGCGAGACCTTCTAAGAGTTAGGCCTTCCCCTCAAGCTAATCAAGTGGATGTTCCTTTTATTTTCATGGTAAAATTAAACTCATATAAATAATATTAATTTTTATATTAAATTATAATAATTTCTGATTTTATTTTTTATTAAAATGTTTTTGTAATAAAATTATCATTAAAATAAAAATAAAATATATAATTATAAATTATATTTTATATTTTATAAAATGACAAAAAAATTTATGAAATTTTTTATTAGTATATATTTTTAAAATGATTAATTTTTCATAAAATATTAAAAAATATATAAAATATGAATAAGAAGAAAAAATTATTTTATCATAATGATTCTAACTCATTGCTTTTATTAAAATAAGAATTTAAACTATTAAAATATGTTAAAATAAAACAAAATAATAATAAATCATATTTTGTTATTCAATAAATTCTAAAAATAAATAAATTTAGATCTAATCACTAAACATACCCTTGATTGAAATAAGGTGACTACATTTTAAATTATTAATTTCTAAATTGGATTGTAAAGGTTAGTTTGATTAGTTATTAGAATGACTAGTTAGGTTAATATAATATCAAAATCAAATAAGAATGGATGCTAAATAATTTATTTGAACTACTTTTTTAAATGAATATTTTTATTCTATTTAAAAAATAAAAAACTTATATATGATATATATATATATATAGTTATTACTTTAAATATTTTGAATTTAATATATTATATAATATTAAAACAATTTATTAATTTATTATCTTCACTAATTTAGTAACTAATTTTATTTTAGAAAATATTATTTTAAATTTTTAGATAATATTAAAGTTTCTAGAGATAAAGAAAAGAGAAGATAGAGAACATATAATTATTAGTAAAAAATTGTGAAGCTAGATTAGATTTAATCAAATTTAACTTATTTTAAAGTTGATTTAATGTTTTGATCAAATCAAATTTTTAGATTCAAGCTTGATTTAATTGCAAGACTAACAGGATATTTAGACAATACCACTACAAAAAAAAATTATATATTAACGATTAACATTATATACAACATTAAATTATTTTGTTAATAAAACATTTATTTAATAAAAATTAAATTATTAATATAAATATTCCAGATCTATGTCAACAGTGTGATACTTGATACTATAAGAAAATTTATTAGCATATAGAATTGATATATAAAATTGGTATATTAAATGATAATGTAAATATGAATTGTATTATTAATATGGACTCACAATTTTAACAGTAATTGAATATTTTATTAGAAAAAAAAACATACTAATTGAGATCATTAACGCTTGATATTTTTCAGATATATTAGTAAATTACATTCCTTCAGTACTAATGCGTAAATTTAGATGTTATATACAGTTAAGTCATAAAAGCTTAAAAATGAAAAATAAATTAAAAGATATTTTATCCTACACATTCTAAAATAAATTATATCAACACGAAATACTATATTATATGGCATACATTAATGTAAGCCAATAAACTTTATAGTTTATTAATAGCAAAAAAAGAAAAAAGAATTATAGTTTATTATTAGTTTTGCAAAAAACTAATAAGTTTTAAATAGCATTGGAAATCAAACATGGCGACTCGAACATTGTCTAAAATTATATAAAGTTCAATCTTTGTAACTAAAAATTCAGCCCAATTAACTGTCATAAAAATGTGTAGTTGTTGGAAAATGAATAATACAATAAGGGCAAAATAGGAAAAGGAGATATAAGGGCTCAAAAGTGGAATGAAAGGATGAAAAAGGAACTCACAAGGTAGAGGAGTAAGAGACTCCTAAAGAAACATAATAGTATCTAACAGATTGAAATAAAGGTAGTCAGACACTCTTCATGTTGAATAAAAGTAGTCAGACACTCTCCATTTCATCAGATTCAAAGAGGAATGATTGCTGAAGAGAAGAAGCAAAAGAGAACAGTACTAGGGAAAAGAGGAAAGGTTACTTCAAAGTCACCTTAACAATTATGCTTACCGGAAAATGAAAGCAGAACAATGGATTGAAAGAGAAACTAGAACTCAAATAGGAAACAATGTCAAGAAGGAAGGAAGCTATAGTCGGTGCCTTAGTGAATGATCAAAAGGTTCATAATAAAGATGGAATAGTTAGCGAGGACATTTTGCTACTTAGAGAGCAAAACAAAGCGGACTATATAAAGAATGAAGGATGAAAGAGGAGGGACCTTATTTCTTCTTTGATGTTTGGTATTTTAGAAGTGAGATAACCTCTCCAAAGAATAAGAAAGAAGAACTAAAGATTCACTTGATGCTCAAGGAAGTTTAGAGAGTGCTCTACAAAATAGGAATTCATGATCAATATTTAGCTTGGAGGACGTCAAGTGCACTTTACTGTAGTAAAGACACTCTACACCTTGAAAAGGAAGTAACGGCTGCCCTTAAATGTAACTTACATCTTGAGACACATTGAACAACCTCCTACAAGAATAAAGAATGTCAAGAAATGAGTATCCTCCATAAAAGTATCTGGTTTGCCCCCTATAAGTTGAGCGTCCATAAACTCCTATTTCAGCATACTTCATAAGTTTATGAACCTCTTCTCTTATAAAATCTAGTTTTAAAACAATAATTAACGAAGATTATATAAGAAAAATATATGTATGCAGTTACATGTCAATAAACTAATACACTTAATAGATTTATAGTTTTTATTGAATTTCTTAAAAAAAATGTGTATTATTTTATAGTGATACTGTATAGTAATGTTTAAGAATATATTATTTTTTAAGAAAGTATTTGAGAAGGAGAATTTTAGAAAAGAGAATAGAGAAAAATAAATTTTATATTTAAATAAATATATTAAAAATTATTTATTTAAAATAAAAGATATAACAATATAAATTTAATATGTTAATTATATATTTATCATCTTAAATAATATATAATTATTTTAATTTAAAATTAAAAATATATTTTATTTATTTTCTTCTCCTTCAAAAATTATCTCCGAAACGTATCCTCGGTATGAGGTTATTATAAATAGCAAGGCGCAGCTATTATGTTGAAAACAACTTTCTAACAGTCAATAATGCGCTTGACAACCATTTTTCCACTTTATATCGTCAATAGCATCACGTTGGTGTAGATCTGGAAGATACCCAATGAATTGCATAAAGCATATGACTTTGTCTTGAATGTCCAACTAAACTGCTTAACCAAGTTTGAACTTTGAATTCAATTGAATCATATCTAATGGAGGATAATCCAGCATATTCCACACAAAAAATATCATTCTTTTTTCCCATTTCCCCACTCTCTTACAGTACTTGGCGCTTTGATGAAACGTGTTCGGCGAAATGAATTAAATGTAGCCCCATTTGTATAACAAAGAAACGTATTGGTAATTGAATGTTCAGATTTGAGAATCCATGAAAGATATTCTTGATCCTTTCAAATTTATAACTATCACAACAGGAATGGAAGGCCATTTCTCTCGCCCATCTCATCCATATCTAACAATTAGAGACTAATCAGTTTATACATAGAGCACATATCAAGTTCTTCTTTGTTTTAACATGAGAGCTGAGATATGATAAATTTTGAACATACAACTACATAGGATAGTTTTGAGTAAATGATCGTTAACTGTGAATAAATTTATTTAGACCATTTAAAAAATTATAATACGACCAACATATTATCTAATAACTTGTTAGAAAAGGAAATTGAGATATGTTTGAGGGTTACAAGTCGTGTTTGTTGTATTCTTTTAAATGAACTTCTAAACAACATATTAATACAGTTATTTTATATAATCTGTTATAAAATATTTTTAATTTAAACTTATTTTAAATTTCAGATTACCTTTTCTTGTTCCGCAGAGTCCATTAGTAGAAAATGCAACAAAACCAATTCTAGTCCAAACCATAAATTAACCGAATCATAATATCTAATCGAAATTGTTTTACCCAAAAAAGTTTGTTATTGAATGGAAAAATCATGGTGCGGGGGCAACTTTAGATAAAAGATATTTTGACTTGGCCTAAAATAATAAAACGTTAGTTGCGTCTCGGGGCGCCTACACTGCACGCACCGTCGTCGTTGGAAGCATAAGAGAGATCAAAGCGACAAGACGAAGGAAGCGTTTAATGAAAAGGATTTGATTTTTCTTTTTGACTGGGCGAGGAAGGAGAACGAGTTCGGGGGCGGTGGTGTTACACCATTGTGTCGTTTCGTTCTTCCAAATAATTCCAATAACAAAAGCAATAATTTTCCTTCGTTTTCTCTTTCCCTCATTCTCTTCCTAATCCCAATCGATCGCTTCCTAGCTAGGGTTTCCACCAATGCCGCAGGATTCCTCCGAGCAAGACCTCGACGATCCTGACATCGAGTTCGTCGAGGTTGATCCTACCGGTCGCTATGGTCGGGTCGGTTTCACTTCTGTATCTTCGACTTTGTTAAAGTTTTCATTATTTTTCATGTCTCAAATTCTGCGCTTAATGTCGATTCGTCATGCATGGTGTTTAATTTTGCTCATTTTTTAATTTAATTTAATTCATTAATTATTGCTTAGTTTTGCAATCTATTGTGAAATGGTTCGCTTGATCTGATTTGATTTTCTGGATTCTGCAGTACAAGGAAGTTTTAGGAAAGGGGGCTTTCAAGAAAGTGTATCCTTTTTCGTTTCTGAATGTTTCAATGCTCAGTTGATAAATATAAACGTGTATAAGTAACATGGATCCGTTTGGTGGAAACTCTTCAGTGATTTTTTTTTTTATTTGTTATTTCTTAATGGTAAAATGGAAATGTAGATATCGAGCGTTTGATGAGTTGGAAGGAATTGAAGTGGCTTGGAATCAGGTTAAGGTGGCGGATCTATTGCGTAAGTCTGAAGATTTGGAACGTCTCTATTCAGAAGTTCATTTGCTCAAGACTTTGAAGCATAAGAATATAATTAAATTTTACAATTCATGGGTTGACACCAAAAATGAGAACATCAACTTCATCACTGAAATTTTTACCTCGGGAACATTGCGCCAGTGAGTCTCTGTTGCTTCGTGTATCTGTTTCGTTTGTGATTTTAGTTGTTCAATTTTGACTTTGTTAATTTAGATACCGGAAGAAACATAAGCATGTTGATTTGAGAGCTTTGAAGAAATGGTCTAGGCAGATTTTGGAGGGCCTTTTATATCTTCACAGTCACAATCCGCCGGTTATTCATCGAGACCTTAAGTGTGACAATATTTTTGTCAATGGGAATCAAGGGGAGGTGAAAATCGGTGATCTAGGATTGGCAGCTATCCTTCAACAGGCCAATTCAGCTCATAGTGTCATAGGTAACATTACCTGTGAAATTATTACATACATTCTTTTCTGATGTGGACTGTTGTGGGAATCTTCTTAATGAAAGCATCTGTACTTCTTATTATGAGCCTAGGTACCCCAGAGTTCATGGCCCCTGAACTTTATGAAGAGGAATACAATGAGCTTGTTGACATCTATGCTTTTGGCATGTGCTTGCTTGAGCTGGTAACCGTTGAGTACCCGTATGTTGAATGTGCCAATGCTGCTCAAATATACAAGAAAGTGACATCTGTAAGTTGAATGCTTTATTTTCAAAATTTTGGGTCTGTCTTTCTTATGATGTAACACTGGTATTACAATTATTCATTACATTTCCATCTCAATGGCACGGATATCATATTTAGTGTGCTATGAAAGCTCTGTAAATTTTCTGAGACTGTGATGCTTGCCACACCCTTTGGATATTTCAACAATATTGGACACTTAATGAACCTGAGTAGATGTTCATTGTTGTAGGAATTTCATAGAATTTGGATTTGAGGGGGGGGTTGGGGGGGTTGAAGGTATAGAATTGTTGAATTTTCAGAGCAAACTTCAAAAAAAAATAAAAATCCTTGAATATCTGAATTGGTGTTTTTTCTTCTCCAGTTGCTGCCCCTGAATTTTGATTGGCTTATAGGGAAAAATGGTTGACATATCTTCTTTAATAAGAATCACATTAGGTTTAAGCTTTTCTTATGCATGAAATTGCATAAGATAATATTGGCTGTTATTTTCGATGTAATTAGAGCATTGTTCTGAAATTTCCATTACAGATTATAACCTAACAGAATCAAATAATTGTGTAGAAGATATGTATGTTAAACATTTTCGATTTAAATTTTCACTAATAATTAGAAAATGACAAATTGTTTTCACCTTCTTTTCTTATGCTGTGCAAAAAAAAAGTGATTATAAGTAAAAACAGAAATAGAAACAAAAAGCAGTTTCTTGAACCAAGCACGTCTTAATGTCCTTGATCATCTTCATGACTATTGTTGTTGTTTTGTTTCCTGGTAGGGAATAAAGCCAGCATCATTGGCAAAAGTGACAAATCTTGACGTTAGAGCATTTATAGAAAAGTGTATCGCTCATGTATCTGAACGTTTGTCTGCAAAGGATCTCTTGATGGATCCCTTTCTTCAGTCAGATCATGATAGTGAAAGTGTAGGCCGATCTATAAGATCTCAAACCCTTCATTCAGGTAACTATACTTAGCATCTAAATTCCCCAATTAACAATCTTCTTTTGTTTAACATCTGAGATACCAAATGCAGGAAATAGTTATCATAATCAAGCAATTGGACAAAATGCTGAGGATAATTCTGCTGAGACATGTAGGGAATTCACAGTGGAAGGTCAGAGGAGAGATATTAATACAATATTTTTAAAACTGCGAATCGCAGATTCCACAGGTCTTGTATCTCAATTTTCGTTTTTTTTTTCTTGAGATAGTGTCTGTCTATTTGCTTTTTCATTGGTTCTGATGTTTGTTTCTGTGTAGGTCACATTCGCAATATCCACTTTCCTTTTGATATTGGAGCAGACACTGCAATCTCTGTTGCTAGTGAAATGGTTGAAGAGTTGGAACTCACTGATCAAGATGTTACAGCTATTGCTAAGATGATTGACTCAGAAATTCAATATCACATTCCTAGTTGGAATCCAAATGAAACTCCTGTTGACAGTTTTGGTCAAGATTCAGGCTGTACTTCTGAAACTAGGCCCGAGGCCCCTCCTGTACCAAATGATTCAATTACTTCTAGTGGCAATCTTGCATTGGAAGTATTACCTTCAGGTCGTAAGTACTGGTCAGACTCACCAAAGGGAGTTGGTGGAAACTCTCCATCTAGGCCTGGCCCTTCAAATTTGTCTTTTGAAGTGGATGCGAATGCTGAGGAAGGAAACTTGACAGAAAATGGTGCTATTTCAGCTGAGCTGGATCCTCATGATCAGATCTGTGCTGGTGATTGTAGTGATGAAAAGGAATGTGATGGGACTGTTGATTCCCCTTGCAGTGAGAAAAGTATTACGTCGGAATATTTAGGAGCAACTCATGAAAAATCTTCTCGGGAAGAAATATCTGGAAGTTTGAAAGATTCTGAAATCAAATGCATCAGTCAAATAGCATCAAAACTGGAGGGTTTGTTGGTTAAACAACGAGAGGAGTTAGATGAACTAAAGAGGAAGCACAAATTAGCTGTCTCGGATATTTTGAAGGAACTTCCCCCAGAAATGTGCCAGAAGGTCCTAAGTATATGCAACCTTCTGATGCCTGAAGGTGAAATGTAGGGCCAGGGCCCCTTATTCATCCTGGGCGCTTCCTCATATAGAAAGATCATCTTTAGGAGTGAAATTCTGAAGTTGAAATATCCTTGCATGTTTATGGAACTTGCATGCTGCTAATATTTTGGGTTCTTAGAGAGGGTGATTTTTTAATGGCACAACTGATCTTGGTATATGATGTCAAGAGGAAATGCGGTCATAACTAAAGGAATCTGACTATCTTTTCTGGAAGAGATTTCGTGGAGGGAAAGGCTTAACATCCTCTTTGGCTTGAAGCACGGGGTTGAAGTGAGAAATAATTATCTTTGATAGGTCATAAGAGTGGGGTCATATCGATTTCATTTCCCAAGAACATCTGTAAATAGTATGATAAAATTCATTAAACTACAGAAAATGTATACTTGTACATATGATCGCCGGCTGTCAGTTTAAATTATACAAGGGCTTCCCAACTAGTTTTTTTGGGTTTTGTGGTCACCTACTGGAAACTTGGAATTAGACCTCTTGGATTATTTTTATTATCTTGGCAAACTATTCTTATAATTTGGTATTACCGACATGTGTTCGGGCTATTATTTGTAAATACTCTGATAATTTTGGTAGTTCTCTGTAGGCTTTTTTGTATAAATAATTTTTTTTTTCAAATATGTCCTTTCTTTTTTAATCCTGAAATATATTATAGTTAATACCGAAGTTAACATGAGACGCGTTCGTCTAAAAACAAAATATAAGTTATTTAAGAGTTGTGTGACTTAATCTTAACCTTTTAAAGACATAATTTGTTACACAGAACTTTGAAGAATGTAAATTATATATCTATTTTATATAATTTTTTTAGATTTATTAAACTAAACTCATATGGAACTTAAGATATAAATCATTCAAGAATAGTGCAATAGATAAAAAAATACAAGCTTCTTTTTCACAAAAAATGATGAGGCGAAAAAGCGTAAAAATACCAAAAAAAATAGAATTTGGAATTTTGAGATAAAATTTTGTTCAAATACCCTTTCAAAATTTTTGGTTGAATAAATATTTATAAATTAAATGAAATAAACATATAATTTACATCAATCAGAATTATGTATAAAAGTTATGCTTTTTTAAAGTTTAAGACCGTGAAACACAAAATTATATTATTAGTCTAACCGTACTCGTTACAAACATAGTTGTGTTAGTGCATAAGTTGCACAAAGGTTATAGGACTTATGTGCAAATTATAAGACGCTTTCTCTTAAGTTGCACAATGGTTGTAGGCTGCAAGTCGCCCTAGCCTTATGCAACTTATGTATAAATTATAATTTGTTTTATTTTAGTAAAATTTATGTATTAAGTATGATTAGATCATATTAAAGACTAATTTTAATTATTTTAAAGAAGTCAATGACTAAATCTTAATAATTTTTTTAAGTAAAAAAATGCTACTTTTATTAAAAAAATTAAATGAATTTATTTTATCTCACTGAATATTTTAATTATTTTAAAAGAATTCATACAATATTTATACTTTAATATAATAAATACATTTTATTTTAACTAATGTATTTTTATTTACTCTTTCATTTATAACATTTTTTTTTACTCAAGATACAATTTGGAGGGGAGAAGGGGAAACCTTAAGATCAGTGCAGGAGATAGCTCTTCAAGGCTAATCTTAGCTAATAGATCAACTACAAGGGATGAGTAGACTAATACTAAAAATTAGAAGGAGAAGGAGAAGAAAACAAACTGCATAGACTAAAATTTTATATGTATTTATTCTGAATCATGTACTTGTATTTATAGTATATTAGACACATTTGAATTAAACACTATTTAACAGAATTAACAAAATTGAATTAATCTCTCAACATACCCCCTTTAATTCAAATATCTAAGATCTCAACCAAAATACTTGACAGGCTGCATGTGATGTAGCATGTACTCTGCCTCACAGCTAGATAAAGTCACCACTGTTTGCTTCTTGGTATTGCCTGGAAGGACGATTTAGAAGATCATAGGTAAATCAGTCGGAGAGAAAGGGATTTATTTTCTCAGAATTCTTAAACTAAATTATCGAGTTAGAGATCAGGCTGCAGGCACAAATATATACCCGCAACTGTGGGTAAGGACGAAGGGAATATCACTATGTATGGTCTTAAGAAGGAGTAGTCCTTGGTTGCTTTGGTTCTTGCTGCCACTTTCACAGGTGCTGCGGCAACGAGGGCGAGAAGGTTAGACTTTTTATAGAGATAAGCAGTTTGACAGTACTCTGCTGGATAAGGGAGGGGCTTATAATTTGTTCTTATCAGATTCAATGGTGCTGGGGTTCGTATCGATAGATCTACTTTTTGATAACTTTGGAATTTATCCTGTTATGGACATAGGAACTCTCCTTGTTAGTTTAGTTTCCTCTCTTTGGAAAATAACAATTCCCCTATGAAGACTCGCTTTTGCTACAGTTCGGGTAGTTTCTCTTAACCAAACCACTGCCTATGAGTCGTCGGTTCATTCTTCAACAGGCCGGCGGTCAGAGTCTCGGGCTGGGCCCCTCCCACTGCTTGCTGATTCACACGGGATTCCACATGCCCATGCTACTCGAGTCAGAACGTAAGCTAATGATGCTTTTGGCTACTAGACTCTCGCCATCTAGGGTGCAGCACTCGGCACTCCACTATCAGCTCAAATGCAGAAGACACTTTTTACCTCGGGTCCTTTGGAAAGGAGTAAGCAACTTAAGACCTGAAGAGGTATTCTCAATCTAAGGCTACGCACCCTTGCCCACTAATATGTAGGCTGAACAGCACCAGGCCACACAGGCTGAATCGGCAACATTTCGTCGGTAGTGACACACAGCACAACGGCATCAGCAGCATTCACAGCTGACCAGGAAATAGGTGTTCCATGGAGCTTAAATACATATCCCATAGTGCTGTTTCTGTCAACTTATACTCTGTCATCACACCAATCTGAATCAGAAAATTGAATTAAGCTATCAGACAACTATTAGGAAACAACACACCATAGTAGGGACTCTCCAAATATCTTATTGTTCTCTTTGCTGCTACTAGGTAAGATTGACTTAGGAGGTTGCAAATGTACTTCAGTGAGCCAATAATCTGTTTGTATAAGATCAAGAAGAGTTACTTCATCAAAAAATGATAGTAAAACAAATTTTTTATTGGAAATGATTAATTTTAAATTTTAAAATAAAATAAAATATTATTTTATCTTTAATATAATAAACAATTTAATAAAAATTATTATATTTATATATCATCAAAACTATTTTTTAATTTGTATGGTTACTTTAAAAGATAAATACAATGAGAATGAAAGTGATGCTATTAAGTATCCTTTTTATCAAATTTATTATCAAATATACGTATATCGTAAATAATAAAACTTAAAATGCAATATCTTAAAATTTAAATTAAGAATCAAGTGATCTAATAAAAAAAAATAGTATTATTAAATAAAAAATAATAATTTTTTTATCTATTTAATACAAAATTTTGTATTAAATATTGCTGTGCACAAAATATAAGTATGAATCATGAGTGAAAATTAATCTTGAATCCTTTGAATTTAAAATTAAAATATTGTTGATTGAAAATTCTTGATGAAATATTAATCACTCACTAAACTTCCATTAGCATAGTTTTTTAATTCAAAATTTAAATTTTTCTTTTTTAACTTTGTATTGCTAATCACTTATTTGTTTCATTTAGTTAAAAAAATATAACAAAACCTAAAAGATGCTATTATTTAACAAAAGAAAGAGGTAAAAACTTATCTATTTTTAATAAATACAAAAATTTATTTGTTAATATGAATTTTTAAAAATTATTTTAATATAATATATAACAAAAAATATTTTTTTAGACACAAATTTTAGTAAATAATAAATAATAAAATTTAGAAAATAAAAAAGATAGTTTTTAATTATATAAAAAAGTAAAAATAAATATTTTTCAATTAAACATTTTAATTATTAATTTTTTAAAATAAAATATAAAGATTATTTTTTTTAAATCTGTCACAAATAATTTTTTTTTATAAAAATATAAAAAAATTAAATAAAATAAATTTTTTAAAACTTTTTTTAACCTAACATCAATATGTTTCCTCTTTTCATGCAATATAAATTTTTGGACAATTTAATTATTTTGTCAAAATCTATTTAAGTTTTTACCATTGATGTTGTGGATGATGCAGAGGTATGACTAGACAAATTTATTTTTAAATTATCTTTTTTCTCTAAGTTGCATATTAGGAAGAATAGATAATTATTCAAACTTGCCAATGGTTTCTACTTATAAGTGTTTGCGTTTTGTACGATTACAATGTTTTCAATTGCATATGTTGGCTTGAGTCTTTTTTTTTATATAAAGTATTATTGGTTTGAAAGAGTATGCATGCCTAGTACCTAAATATGTAAGTGTAGAAAAACTAAAAAATAATGAAACAAGTAAATACTATTTTTAAATTGTCTCTTCCATTCTATTAAAAAAAATATTTTAAAGTGAAAGAAGTACTGACAAAAAAAAAGAATAGAGACTGTTGAATAAATAAAGACTTCGTTTTCCTTTGAGTTATTTAAAAATTATCCAATTTAAGTTAGTGGAGTATAAAATACAAATATGAATAAAAGTTTTATCCTTAATAAATGTTATTGGTCCTATAATTAACATTGTTCTCAAGAAACTAATCTAATGTTTTTACCTTTGTAAGTTTAAATAATACTTTTATGCTTACCCTTGTAAGTCATATCGAATGGAATATCCATTTTTCTACGCGTAACTTTTATAAAATAATAAATAATAAATTTTAAAAGATAATTGATAGTTTTTAATTATATAAAAAAGTAAAAATAAATAATTTTTTAAATTTTTTTTAAGTTGTTAAATCTGTCAAAATAAAATATAAAAAATTTTGGAATATTAAATCACTTTTCAAAATAAGATTTTTTTTCTTTATTTACTGGGAAAGTTAAATTTAAATGTTAATTTTTTAAAATAAAAACACAAAATATATAAAAATAATAATAATAAATAAATAAATATTTTGTAAGTGATTAACTCTTTTGTTTCAAAATAAAATATAAAATATTATTTTCAAGTTATTAAGTATTTATGAGTTTTCAAATAAAAAATAAAATGTAAAATTTTGTTTTACAAAATTGTTTTGTTTTTAAAATAAAATGTGATTTAAGAATGGAGGATTCTATGTCAAATATTGTTTTTATCAATGATAATAACAATTTATATTTAAGGCATATTTTTAAAAATAAATAAAATAAAAAGTAATAAATAAAATTTAAAAAATAGAAAATAGAAAATAAAAAAAAATTAATATTTTCATTTAAAATTATTTACACTACTTAATTTTGAGTTACATTCTTTTACAATGAGATACTATTTATATTTTTGTTTATCAATGTTATTCCAATAAAGTATCTTACTTATCTCCAAGTTGATTTCAGAAGTTCTACATTGTATATGCAGTTTTTACCTCTTTTTGGTTGTTTTGTCTGGCTCTTGATGTCAACTTTAAGACTACAATCTACCTATTATTATAACCACTTCTCTCTCAATCTTTTTTTCCGTCAAAGCTGCTGTACAAGTCACACTCCAGTACTGATCTTCAATTGGCAAAAAACAATATTTAAAATAATAATAATCAAGCCAAAAAATTATATATCCATTCATATAAAAGTTAAATATACAAATTTAAAAGATCGAAATAAAAAATTAGAGAGAAAAATTAAAATAAAACCAGAAGTTAAAGAATTAATTTAATCATTTTTTTTTTATGAAATGACGTTATAAGTTTTATTAAAATACTATTTTTTTTAATCCTAAGTCTAATATAGCTAGTTAATGAATATAATAAATTTTTAAAATAGTTAGTATATGTATTTGATATGTAAATACTAACTAGAAAGAAATTAGAAATATGGAAAGACTTTTGCATAAGTTCAAACTTTCAAAGAATGCGAACTGAGGGAACTTCGCAGTAATGACCAGAGAAGAAAAGGCAGAGAGAACTATAAATACGCACGGCTTTTCAAAATACGATGACAACTATGTCAAACATGTCTTCATGTATTTCAAAATCAAACATCCAATAGCATCGAATTTTTACAAGCTATCTTTAGCCTTTCAATTTTTCTTCAACGTTATCTAGTGGATATTCCCTATAATTGTCTTGTTTTCTTCTAAAAGATTTGTTTAAATATAACTAAAGCTGAACCTTTTTTTTTGTCACAAATTATTTTTTAATCTTAAAAATTCACTTAGTATATATCAAAACAAATGTAATAGTCTTTTTCGTTTAAATTATGTAAATAACTAAAAACTACATCTAAATATTATCATAAACACGGTTTTGATGTACTATACTAAACACATGTATATGGTTTACTTTTAATTATCTGTTAGTGTGAAATCTTTTTAGAATACAATTTAAGTACTTAATTATATCAGTAAATTATTATATCAAATCTGACTATAATATTATTACCAAAAAAATTTAGCTTTTTTTATTTACAAGTCAATTCATTGTTAAATAAATGTGTAATAAAAATTGTAAACTATATGCTCATGGCACCCGGGCCATTTATTTAATGCTACCATTACATAAACTATAGAAAGAAAGTGATTGAATTTTTAAATAAAAAAAGAAAAAGTGATTTGATTTTAAAAATTCTAACGTATTGATCCAAAAAATTACAATCAAACAACTTGATTCTACATGTGTTCTGGCTTACATTAAATTTATCAAATATATATGGAACACGATCTTTTTATATTAATGTAAGTCTAAAATTTTTTACACTTACTTTAGATTTTTTATTTAACTTAAATTTAATGAGTTATAATTTATTATTTTATTCATCATTAAATTTAAATTAAATAAAAAATTATAAAAATTTTTAGACCCACACTAACGAAAAAATCCTTTAATAAGAATATGTTATATTCGCCATGTATACACCGTTCAGGTTTAAAAAAAATTCAATCATTAGAGGATTTCTTTAGAAAAAAAAAACCTACAAGTATGAACTTTTATTTTAAAAAAAGTACTTTTTGTTGAATTAAAAATATTTACAATATAATAAGACTAATTCTTTCAACAATTTTTTATTTACAAAATTTAAAGACGAGACTTTGTTTAAGGAACATCAAATATGTACTGCATAATTCAACCTCCGTTGATTAAAAAAGAAAACTCAAGTCAATATTGTTTGGTTTCAATAAATATTTTGCTACCCTTAGACTTTTATATGTAAATATAGGTAACTATGCTTTCATTGATAGCTTGTTAAAAAAAAATTGAAATTTGCGTCTAGAAGATGCAAGACTTTACCAAATGCAAAGTCATTTTATAACGGGTCTTCAGTATTCTTTTTTAAAGATAAACACAAGGATAAACAACAATTAAAGTTAGCCTATTACAATCGCAAGAATATAAATATAGAAAAGATTTTATTTTATGATTCAAAGAAAAGACTTTTATTTTAGTGAATGGTAAAAACGATTACCACATCCGAATGCAAGAAAAAGCTACATAGGCCCCCACACGCAGCCTTTTATTATAGGGGCACATACTCTCAATTGCGTAAACCAAACTCTTAAATGGATGATGATAACGCTATAGCCTTTAACTTTTATTTACAAAAGGATTCATATCTATCTATCTAACCTCATTGTAGATAAAAAAATTGAACTAACTCTACCAATACAGCATTGGCATCAATGGCATGATTAACTAATTTTAACAAAAATGACTTGTATGTGTACCCATGGAGCAGAGGATGATTGTGATTATGATTATGATTATGAATAACATACAATATATACACACACATGATGATGACACAACAGAATGATGGGTTTACAATAAAGTTGAGGAGAGGACACTAAACAAAATGAAAAGAATTTGGGGCATTGGTAAGCAACATCATGGTCTTGAATTCCTGAAAATCAAGGCGACCATCCAAATTGGTGTCATAGAAGCGAATCATGCTTCTACAATCCTTGTCACTTGTTTCGTCCCACAAGCCAAGCGTCTTCAACACACACCCTAATTCTTGGCTTGTGATGAATCCATCACCATCCAAATCAAACACCATGAAGGTCTTCACAAGGTCACTCTCCAACTCCTCTACATCATCATCATCATCATCTGCATCACCACCTTTGCTCTCCCCATTGTTCTGTTTTGATATAGAATTATTGTACAAAAACAAGAACTCACTGAAATCAAGGCTCTTCTTTTCCACAAGAGATTCCAACTCTTCTAAGCTATAGTGGGAAGTTCCTATCTTTTGTAGAAGCCGGTTCAGCTCCTCAAGGCTCACAAACCCATCTCCATTTATGTCTAACTTCTCAAAAATTCGCTTCAAGTCATTGGGGGTTAGGAGACACATATTTGCAAAGAACATAAAAAAGGGTATATGAAATTATGAAAAATTGAATATCATATACAGAACTGCTTATTGCAGTTCTCTGCTCTTCTTTAGGAGCTTATGGTTGTTGGTCATGAAACCTTGCAACATCTATATGCCTTGTATATATAATATGTGCAAGATATTGAGAGATAGAGAAGTAAACATGCCACGAATTTACTAATGATAAAAAGGAGGAATTCATATGTTATATCTCTAATATATTAATATATTTTGGCAACATGCGTGGATCTTATGACTTTTTGTTGTTGTCCTTTGTGTACGGAATCAAAACACAAGCTGATACGAAATTGTTCCTCGTCCACTAAGCCTGCATTGGCAATTTGCACGAAGTTTCCCTGTCTTTTCTTTGAAAGCAACTTTATATTTTCTACCCATTAATATAAGCCATTAATCGGGTGAAAATATTGAATTATTATGAGTAATAAATATTGATTATTAAATCTTATTTAAAAAATTATTTTTTTTAAAATAATCATATAAAATATTAATTAACTTTGATAAAGGACTATTAATATATAATTGTATGTCCAAGTTTATAATTTTTATATTTTAAAACAAAATTATTTTTTTCTCTTTCTTTTTCTTTCTCTCTTTTCTTTTTTTGTCAAGTCTTTTTCTCTCTGTATGTATATGTGACCTAGCCGAACCTTATATATGTGACCTAGCCGAACCTTAATGACCCCAAGTCCACTTACATCAAGATTGAAGGTATAGAAGGTGTTTAATGGAGTTGAATTGAGATAGAGTTGACAAGATTTTTTAATCAACTTGATCTAAATCGACTAGGTCTAACGTGGCTTTGATTGAGTTGATGTATATTTATAATTTAATTATTTTTTAAAGAAAATTTATAATATATGAAATAAAATTTATACTATACATACATATATATATATATATATATATATAAATTAATAAAAAAAAATATAAATAAAAAAGAGAGAGAAAAGTTTCCTTAAATCCACAAGTTTTTATATGATAGAATTTAATTAAATATCTAAAGCAACATGAACTTTTTAGTTTATATCATGTTGTGTTGATTGGATTTGCAGTTGGGTTGGATTCATGATTATCCCTAATTTTGGTCCAAGAAACAAGTGATGGTGGAAAGTAAGACACTTTGGTATTCAAGTTATTATTTGTATGTATTTGAATAGAGTAACAACATATGAAATGAGAGTTTAGCTACTAGTGGTATAAGGGATGCTTATTTATAGTGTTTAAATGCAAATAACTTCCGACTTGACATTCCAGTTTAAAAACTTAATATTTTTAAAGTGTTGGTAAGAAAAATGTGAACCATCGAGTTCAAATGGTTTGCTGTGTCTTAACTGACTCATCAATCCAATAAAAGATTTGAACTAAAAACATATTAGGTCATGATTTGTTAAATTGAACATAATGATATAATCCTAAAAAAAATGTTTATCGATTAATTATTGTGATAAAGAATTTTGGGGCTTACTGATCTAATATAACCTGGAAGTAATTTTCAATAAGTTATACATAAGTTGATCTTTAATACATGATTTGTTGTCCCTTCTTCAAGAAAGTGGTATACCTTCAGTTTCAAATTTTAATAATAAAAAAATTACAGTTAATCACAAAGTTAATAATTAAAGTTATAATGAAATACAAATACATTTATAATAATTGATATAAATTTTAAATCAAATGACAGTAACTTCTTATTTTACCTACTAAACTAAATTTGAATTTTATTTATTAAATATTCACTTTAATCTTTGAGATAATAAATTTTAGATAATTTAGTTCTTAAAATTTTTAAAATATCATGTTAGTAATGTCCTTAAAATTTTTAAAATGTTATATTAATTAGTTCTTGACTTTTATTTCAATCCATCATTTTAGTTTTTTGAGCCACAAATTGTAAACACACAATAACAAAATGCTAACATGCTCAATTAAGTAATGTGTGTACTATATATTTTTATTTTATTTTAATTCTTGAAATTTTCATGTATAAAATATTTTAATCTTTGTTTCTTAAAACATTTCATCTATCTATTCTTATTTTTCATTCTTTAACATTATTTGTAACGTTCAAAATTTTAACTGTCTATTTTATATTATTAATTAATTTTTTTAATTAATTTACATGAATAAAGTTAATAAGAGACTGATTGAATATTTATTAGAATTTAAATCTATGTTGATTAAGTAGATTAGAATTAAAAATTTATATTAGAGCTTAAGTAATTACCAATGAAAAATTGGGTAAATAAAAGATCTTTAGTTAGAAGAGAAGCTGATATAATTTCAGTAATTTAAATTACTAGAATAAAATAATATTATTTGCCCTAAATCTAAGAGTGGGGAAGCTATCCACCACACATTGATCTAATAGCTCATAATCAATCTTATGACTCATTTGAAACCACAAAATTTATGAACCAATTAAAACTAGCCAAGTAACTTCATTCATCATGGCCACTTGGATATTTCGCTCTCTCTTATCTATTTATAAATTTGCCACTTCTCTCCCTCATTTTCTTCTCCATTTTTCTCCTTTTTTTACCTCCATAAACTTTTCTCTCAAGCTTACCCACACTTACAAATTAGAAACATCTTTAGAATCAATTTGGTGCTCAAATGAGGTAGGGTTCTATCTTTGTTGTTATGCTTATATGAATATATGTGGTTGTCTAGCTAATGTTTTAAATCTCTTAATCCATGATTTATGTGGTATTTTTATGATGTATAACTGGATTAATGGTGGGTGAGTTTGAAGGTAGACCAAGTATAAAAACAAAGAAAAGAAAGAAAACAACAAGTTTGAAAACATAATTCTCTAGAGTTTCCGTACAAATATACTATGTCGACTAATTATTTAACTGTTTAAATATTATGAAAATATTTTAAACTTAAACTAGACATACAGAGCTTTCTATAAATATAAATTATTAAGAAATTAGATTAATATAGAATTAGTTATGAATTTTTAAAGTTTGCCTTAAGTCTCAAATTTTGATTTTGGATAGGTAAGCTTGCGTAAGACATAACTCATCTCATATAACTTGGATTGATGTGAAACAAAATTTGTTAAAAAGCTAAGATCTATTAGTTTATATCATAAAAATTTCAGAGTCCAATTCAATTTCAATTTGAGCAGTTCCCATAATTTTTCCAAAGTTATTCCTATTGTTGTTGAATCAGAAATAGAGCAACCTATAACAATCAACTTTAGAACCTTATAACTTGAGTTCTATTTAACCAAATGAAATGAAGCTTTTTGGATATTAAAATTTCATATCTTAACTTTAAAATGACATGAATTTAGTAGTCGTACACTTGGAATTCTAATTTTGGTGGATTTTAACATTTTTGAGTGCTGTTTTGGCTAATCACAGGACAGGTCATAGTAGAAAGCAAAAATCTTGAGCTGTAGTTGTCAAAACTAAATGGGACCAATCAAGTTAAAAAATAGACAAATAGGGCTTCAACATATAAAAAATCCATGCCTATTGAAGTCATATAGCAATAAATGTAGTAAAAATAAAATAAGGCAAAATTTATGCCTTTAAGGAAAGAATTATGAATTTAAAGGTTTTATTTATTTATATATTTATTTGCTATGATATGTGAATATTTATTTGTTAGCTGACACTATTTATTGGAAAGCAAATATGATCTGTAATGCTGCACAAATTTTGTAAGAGTTACGAATAAATTGTAAAATTTTAAAAGAGATATGTGAGGTATAATATAAAAGTTATGAAAGTTTAAGATGATTGGAAGTTATAAGAAAGTCCTATATCACTTGGGCCAGTCACTGATAAAAAGTTAAGGGGAATAAGTCGGTGGGAGCATTTGGGAAAGTAAACCTGACAAATCCTGTATAAGAACGAGCTCGATCCTAATAAGCAGACTATTATCCAGAAGTCTTATGACTAAGAACTCTCAAGGAACCAAAGATAGGAACTTATATGAGAATTAAGCACATTATTATGTCATTGAAAGTATTTTTTAATTAATATTAGTTCATTTCTATGTTACTTTCAATTTCAACTTTAAGTATTATTATATCACATGTATGATTCATGTTGAGTCTTTTGACTATTTATTTAATTACTTATATATGTGTATCATAATCATTATGATTTTATATATTACAAATGTTAGACATAAAGTTTACTTTGCTTCGGGCCATGTTTTCAATAATCATAATTGAAAGATTTCTTTATTGGTTTAACAACCGTTTATTTAAATAAAAATCAAAGCAATTGAAAATGAAAGCGATGTCACATAGAAGTACACAGCCCTATTGAGAATTTTTAAAAAAAATTCACCCACTTAGTTTCCGTTTCATTCTTAGATCTGCATGATAGATGTAACAGCATTGATCTACATTGAGTTCCCTGATATGCAACTAACCTTAGTTCTAAATTGTCCTATGATGACTCGTCAGGACTGCACCTTGATAGCATGGACCACTAATCTTTTTGTATGTAGTGGTCTTTATATGTATCTATATGTAAATAACAAAATGTAAATAACAAGGTGTCTTATATATATATATATATATATATATATATATATATATAATTATCTTTCTATAAAATGTATGAGTTAAATTAATTATTATGTTTATCCAGATTATTTCATATTTGATTTTTTATTTTTTTTTATAATTTCTCGCTCTTTTATACATTCGATAATTTACTACTAAATCAATATAAAATGACTGAGTGAAATAAACAATACAGTAAGGTGTTATACTACCATCACTTAAAATTACCATTGTCGACCACCATTAGCGTTTGCATTCTCCATTAACACTTTTTTAAGCTTCTCCACAAGAGAATATAGTTACTAATTAGGATTTTAGGCATGCTAGGGTTGAAAACTCTATTAAATAAATAAATAACCCTAAATTAAGTAATCACCTCTAATGGGTCCAGATGCAAGCCCAAGTGAAAAAGAGGAGGTGAAGATGAGAGTGAAGGAGAAAAAGTTGACAAAAATAGTTAATGACGAAGGCTTGGAGTTCTAAAGTCTTTAAGTGCCGAAGTGTATATAGCACAAGCTCCACGAGAAGCACTCACATGGCTACTGAACAATCTCACCATCACTTTATCACTAGTACTTCACCATTTCCAACTTCTTCGCCTCTACTCTTACCAACGTTTTTGCCATCTAGTTACTGTATGTAATTTAAAAGACTAAAATGATACACACAAATACAAGTTAAAGACTTACGTAATATTTAAAAGATTTCATTAAATAAAATATTTAATAGAATTTAATCAAGTTTTATTATATTAGGTCGAAACTACGTCTCCAGACACGCTAATATGGGCAAAATGGTTAGCTGTTCGCGAAAGCACTTTATGCGTCACATTTCAAAACAATTATGTGTTTTAGAGCCTAAAATACAACTCATACACAATTATAAAATCTGTATTAAATGTCCTAAGTATTCATTGCACCTGGGATTCGACAAATACAAATGAACATTAGGTATTAATAAAAAAAAAAGGAAACAAAGATTCAGATCCAGTATATAAGATGGGTAAAGCAATTAAAAAATGACCTTTACATTCGTCCAACTTATTTCCACACTACTAAATGCAAGTCTTACCTTCGTTCATATGCACACACAATGAATCCGCTAAAAATTGTACCATACCAATACAAATGGGCTCAGGTTCTATACACCTTGAACACTAGGGATGCAAAAATAATATTCCTAGTCGAAATGGGGGCAAAACTTATGAACAAAATAATACATAACCACTTATACCCATCAAACACCTAAGAGGAACTGGAGGTGGAGTGCGAGAAACTCTGCAAAACTTCTTACGGCTTATAACATGAAAGTATAAAGATACGTTACAAAAGTGACAAAGAATAATGAATTTAGAAGCTAAAACTTCTCTTCCAACAGATGCATGTTCAAGCCTTCAAGTGAAATTTGCCAGGCTCAGAGTATTTCGTTTCCAGCTGCTCAACTTTGTTAAATTTGAAGCCCCTGATTCTCGATACCTCAGGTTCTGAGGCATCTTTGTGGTCAACAGTTTCAATGCTCCAACCCTTATTTTGAACTGAACCACTAGCATTTACCTATTTTTTTAACAAAAATTTCCCCATCAGTAAAAATATTCAATAAAACACAAACATGCAAAATTATAGCAAATAGGATGAGTTCTCGATTTTTATTTTTTATTTTTAAGAAATAGAGATGGAGTACAGTAATAGAAATAAGAATTAAAAAACTATACCATCTGCAATTATCAAGTGTGTGAAATTGCAAATTTTAGCGTTCAGGATAGTCAAACAAAGAAAATTAATAATATTTAAATTGGGAAAACTTGGCTATTTAGTTAAGTATTTATTAGGAAGAGGTAGGTTCCACTATTTTTTGGATTGCAATTTAATTGGAGTTCTCAATCTATATTCATATGGTGTTGAAAAATTGAAAGTAAATCTCCCCTAATCATCCTGAGTAATGTTACTAGTAGAACACAGATACTACATCTCAGCGTATCAACCATTACTAAATATGTTTTTGACCATTCAACAAAAGTTATCATCCAAACTGGGTACCGGCACCTAAGAGCAGAAACTATTGCTAAGTTTGTTAACAGAATAGTAGATAATACTGAGGTGCATGGAAGGGAGTAGGCAATGAGGTGTACAATGTCTTTACATCAAATGGTAATTACTCCTCCTAAGCAATATATGCAACTCAGAAAACAAAAGATAATTTAGCAATAAATTTGTCTAGCCATACCTCTGCATCATCCACAGCATCAATGATAAGAGCCCCATCTAAGGACAGATTTTCAATAAAAATTTTTTGACCCTTAATGGCCAGAATAGACCTCTGGGAAATGGAGCAATTTCCACTGACTTTGCCCTTGATCAGAGAAAAAGTGAGACCCCATTTGGGTTTCCATGTGACACGGGGCCAAACTTCAACTTCTTGCCCATTGAAGACCTGCAATACTGGATCTGCAACCTGCACACCAGCCTGGACGGAAAAAAAAATGCAGAGAGAACTGATCACAATCTTAACGGTAGATTGTAGTTTTAAAATTGGCATCAAAGGAGCCAGACAAAAGAACAAAAAGAGATAACAGAAAGGACTAGATATACAATGTAGGACTGCTGAAATCAACCTGGAGACAAGGAAGATACTTGGAGTTGGAATAACATTGATAAGCAAAAATATTAGTATCTCATTTTAAATATAGAAGGCTCTTTTATAGGCATATTAGAGCTCCATTGGCCAATGAACAATCTTCTAGAACTTTCCTAAGTTGTGTAGTATGCTAAAAAGAATTTAATCACAAGTATTTAAACATTACCTAACATAACAAGATAATATTTTCAAAATAATTCCTACAGAAATTACTAATAACAAAGTAAACAACCATTCGTCTGCCATTCAAGATTTACAAGCATGAGCGTGAAAGCATTACTTAGACTTACAAGGGTAAAAGCATTACATTACCTTTTTGAGAATAATGCTATTTGCACGATAGATGGCCATTTCTCCAGAGGTTGCACTATGGTATGGATTTCCTTTTGGCACCTTCAGCAATATTAACGAAAAGCATGAGAAATGATTCCTCTCTTGAAAAACTAGCTAATTAAGATACTGTCATTCAAAACCTCTACCATCAAAATAGCATTTCAAATTCAAATTTCCTAATTTTACACAAACTTTTGGTTAGACCTTTCCAGTTAACTTCAACTGAGCACTGCATACACTTCAATAAGAAATCAAGGACTCAAAACTAAAACTTCCTCTATTTCCTTTTACCAAATTTGTTTCTCCATGTCCAAATTATTGCATTAGAATTCATGTTGTACCTTAGCAGCATCCTCAGCATTATTTTTCACAGGTGCATAAGCAAGCCACGTTTCCATCACCTACACAATTACATAGAACCAGTGAGGTATCACCAACTATGAAGCATAACACCCAAACACCCATCAAGTGATATCAACATGGATTGAGTAATAAAAAAAAAATTATCTCCAAGGATGGGTACAGGTCATGCTTGATAAGCATTGATATTCCAAGATTTATGTACTGTTCTCAAATAGATAATTTACCGTGAACCCAACCCTAGCAGATGGGGGCAATGTTTTTGGATAGTCTTGCATCATACATTCAAGTCGAGTTGAGGACTTGAATGCTGTTTTGCTGGCATCTTTATATCTGCAGTGAAGAAATATAGCATTGATGATATAACAAAGAAAAGATGGTAAAACAAAGCCTAATGCAATCAAAGAAAATTGAAGCATGAGCAAAGTGTTAGAATCACAGAAATAATATGGTATGAAGAGCATAAGAAAGAATTACTTTGGGTTAACAAACTCCTGTATGGCACCTCCTGTTTTTGAGAGCTCTTCAATGTATGGACCAAGTTCTAAAATCAACTGTTAGAATAAGATAATGTCAATATGCATCCATGGCATAATCATGATGCAGTTCAACTAAACAAGGACACGAGTTTATTAATAATAATAATAAATCATCCACATTGGAAAGGTCTTTGATGAGAGAAGGAGAAGGAGATGTTTAAGTGTGAAAGAGGATTACTTGGTTTATATTTCCTGGAAAAGGGGAGTAGCCAGTCTCACAATTTTCATCACCATCAGGGTATCCACTTGCTCTCAGAAGGGGGTCTAGCTGATTGTATTCCACATTTATCACCATAGACCTCCCTGATTATGCATTCAAATTAATCATCAAATGCTAAACGTATGAATTCAGGAAAATCCATAAAAAGTGGCATTGACATAATGGAGTCAAGATAAATATATTTGAATAAAACTATCAAGCAGGAAGAGTACAAATAATAAGGCTTTAAAAGTCTGATTAAATGGTAAAAACACATGACAACTTATTACTAACAGTGCAGACAAATGTTCTGGATTAAAACTGTAGACTAATTAGCTTATCATCTTTGTATAACAGATGGTTTAACACAAGATTTCATAACAATGCACAATATTTACTAGCTTTTACCATTCATAAAAAAATACAAACCATCTTGCCTCCTATAAAGCGCTTTTGTCCACCATTTTCCCATTAATTATGATATAAAATAACATTCGTAAAAATTTACAGTTTCAAATTAATTTACAAGTAAGAGAGGAGTTATATTCCACTGTGATATATGTAAGTCCAGAATCAGCACTATTTTCTGTCTGAGGGATAGAACAATTAGCTTACCATCAGAGTGGGTGAGTCTGGTAATTCCACCAATAGCTTCTTTTGCTTTTCGAGGTACTGCAAGAGAGTTAACATGGTACTGGTTGGTAGCACTGACACCCAGTGCTGATGGAATTGCCTGTATTCACAAATTACTAGGGCAATGAAACTTAAAATATACCGATGTGCAAAGCAGAAAAGAGTAGCTGAAAGTATGAAATGTCAAAACAACTAACCTTAAAGAGAAGTCCATTTGTATCTTGAAAAAAGAGAACCCATTTCAACCCAGCATCATGCCTAACAAATGTAAATCATTATATAAATTTATGACCAAAGCATATAACTCAGAAAAAGAACTCATCAATTCACAGAATTGACAACCAAAATTTATATAGTTTTACATAATAGACTTTTGGTGTGCCCAATTGCATTCAGAATATTCTTTAAATTACTAAGAAACATGTAGTGAAGAGATCTATCAAATGTCCACATACAACTCAGCAAAATCAAATTGAAAGACACATAAACTGATCTTGAAAGAAAAGTCGACTGTTTGAGCCATACCACACTTTCAGAATGCCACTGGAATAAAGAAGGGAATGCACATCACCATGTCCATGAGGTTTTGTCTACCCAAAGAGAATAGTTTAGAGATTGCACTTTGTTTGAAAATATAATATTTAAGGATAATAAAACGTGCTTCATTCATTGCTCTTTTCTAAATAAACATCCCAGTCACACAATCATACTTTTACCCTGCCCAGTAATACCTGAATTTTATATCTGTTTTGCGGATCCAATGCAAGCCTGGCATCATTATCTTCTAAACATGCAACTTTTTCCTGAATTACATATAGAATTAATAAAAATAATTAAATTAAAACCTAATTGAATTTTCCATGAGACAACAAAAGGCATACCTGCTTTAAAAGTGTTACTTGTTTGGGTTGCATACCGAAGTAAGAATTTGATTCTAATAGCTCTAAGGTACGCCCATGAGTGTCATCAGATGTCATAATAACAAAAGGAATCTGAGTCTGGGATTCACCTAAAAGTTTAAAGCACAACCATTACTTTAAAGGACTTTGAAATATGATAGTTAACATTAATAGCTACAAGAGTTGGGTACTGTTTGGAAAAGAGGCAGAAGAAAAATAGAATCTGAGATTAATTCCTCTCTCTCGGGAGGAAGGTGTAAAGGGCCAAAATGTTGCAAAATATTTTCTTATGGAATCTCAAATTATCGTGTATTCAAGGAAACCAGATTATGAGATGCATGTGAAAGAAAAGTCCTTGATTTTCATAAGTAGAGAATCACAATATATTATTCCAGAAGGGAAAACCTTTTTTCCAGAAGATATCAAACACTAGAAAAGTATATAAATGATAAATCAAGTTATTGTCTGTATTGAGTAAATATTTATATAAACAGGTTTGTCAATGTTTCCTTTTTACCACACAAGTAACCAAATCAGGAGAATAAATATGACTTTTATTCTATATAACAAAAGCAATTCATACTAACCTTGTGTGCTGGCTTTTTGAAGAGCAAGTATAGATTCAACGTAATGCTGTAAGAAACATGTTCCAGTAGTGGTTTCCGCAGGAAGAGCAACCTGCAAGACCCAGAAGCTATGGTTAAGAATCAGGAACTAATCCCTTCACACACTGGAATTGTCCACACGCACAAACACAACACACCCTTTACAAGGTATCAGAAACAGGGCCAAAAATACAAAAAGGCAACAAGCATCCATTAGTAAGAAGTTTCCATCACCATAGAGGCACAAGTAAATAAAATAATGCTTTTTTCCCCTATTAGAGAAAGATGAGAATCACAAGAAATGAATAAATAATCCTGTGCTGATATGAAAAGGAGTCATAATGAGCCAACAACTCCCTAGGCTGTGAAGAGTGAGATTGAAGATCATGTGCTGGAAAGGACTTAGCCCAAATGTTACTATGAGGTTCCATAGGCACAGACTAAGGGTATTAAGATTAAGCGGGATGTTGCTGTGGGTCTGGTAGTGGTGTGAATTCATGGGAATTGTCATTATTCAGTTATTTGGTTTTGCTGCTTTGGTCTGTGCATGTTTAGATTCACTTTTACTTTAACACTACTAATTGTAGCTTCAGCCTTGGATCCACAATTATTTCCAAACACACTTCTTTTTTGCTGAGTTATACTTCTGTTAGATTGTTATGATTTATGATGCCATTCAAAACTATATAGGACAAGTGATGTAAAAAGCAATACTCATTGGTGAAATAAATCCTTTTTTCTAAGTTTTTCGGTTAAGAGGACATCTTTCCTCGAAGAAAAGTAATTTTTCAGTTCCTTCCTCATCTGCCCTCTACACGTATGATACAAGATTTCCCCATTAACACAATAGCAGAGAAATAAACAAGATATACCTTAATCCCACTGTATCCTAAACGCTCGCCAAGACCACCAGCAACAAGAACAAATGCTGCTTTCCGAGCTTCACGAACACCCGCCTCCTCATATTTGATGAAATTCTCATCACCAAACGTCAAAGTCTCACCCGTTGGAACCTGCAAAATAATTACCACACAGTCTTAAGCATTATTCCATGCTTAAACCGAGAATTCAAATTCAATTGCAGTTGCATACACTTTAGACTCGCAATGTCGAAAATAAAAGCATACAAAAACCCCGTTTACTTGACTTACGGAAGGTGTGAAGCCATCGAAAGGATTTTTCCCAGCTTTAGAATCAGCCAAGAGTCGTTTAGCGTTTTTGATGTAGGCTCCCAAACCACCAGGGTAGCTCGAATCGAGTCGAATCAGCTAATAAAAACGCAGCGTCGTTTGGAAAGAGAAGAAAGGAACAGATCTATGTGATTGAAATTGAACAATGAAACCGAACCTGGTCGAAGAATGCTTTCTTCCGGTCGTCGTCGACACCAGGAGCCGGCCAATCGTGAAACAAATGTTCCTGGCCGTTATCCAACAGCATCTTCACCAACTCTTGCTGAGTAACCGAATCAGAATCAGAATCATAATCATAATCGCGTTCGTTGAAACATGAAAACGTAGAGAGAAAAAGTGAGAGAAGGAACCTGTTGAGGAGAGAGAAGGTTGAAGTTGGCGCCGAGAGGGGAAGCCATGGAATTAGAATCGCAGAAGTGAGTGCAGAAGGAACAAACAGCAAAATAAATGCAAATTCTAGTACGTTGTTTTTCAATTATTAGTACTATTAGTATTGGGATTCCTAAGTAACTGGTAAACCGAAGGTGCCGGTGATTATGTGGACCTTAATTCTGATCCAACAACGTCAACTTCAGTTCTGACCGGAAGGCACGGGTCACGGTCAGTTAGTTAGTGGGGTCCACTCTCTACGTCACACTTTTCATTCCATTGTCACACGCCTTTGCAGGTAAGTAAGAAGTGTGAGTTTTTTTGGTACAAACTTACTTAGTTTCCTTTGACGTTTAAGGAAACGATAATGACAATCGTATAAGGAGGTCAAAAGATAACGTCGTCTAATCTTACATTAATATATGATTTTTAAACTTATTTCTTGATTTAATTAATATGATATGATAATGGAAAACATAGCACTTCATTTCAAATTTTAATGTTAAAAATTAATCAAGACTTTTTTTGTCTTCAAAACATAATTACTAGTCTATACACACACAATTGTTTTAAAAGAATTTAGAGTTTGTCCACATAATTAAATTAGTTCAAAATTTGAATTTAAAATAAAAGTTTGAAAAGGAAAAGATAAAAGATTGGAAGTCTATCATATCTTATTTTATTTTATTATATCTCTTTAAAGATATACCTTATTTTATCCCATTATCTTTCATACTTCATTATTTATCTCTTATTTATATCTTATACAGTACATGTTTCTCGTTATCGCATCTCTATTTTTTCTTGTTCTGATAGAAGGCTTAGAACTCAAATTTTCAAATACACGTAGGATGGATCAATTACTCCTCAATGTTATTTTTAGTCAACTGTGTTTATTTCATTATTTTTGTCTTATTATTAAGACTCAATAAACTTTAATAACCTAATTAATTAAATAAAAAGATCAAACTAATACTGAAAATCACGTTTAACCCGCAACGTGAGTTTGAATATGCGACCATGAAACAAGCCAAACGTAGGCTTGCTGTGCGTGAAGGTGGTGGGTTGTTGTAACTTCAAATTAAAGCATATGGTTGCAATTTCTAAACCCGTGACGGTTAATAATTGTTTGTTTGTTTGTTTTGAAGATATGTTTCTCGCTAACCCAACATGAAACCAGGATTTAGAGATTTTGATATGTTGATTACTATTTTGATTTTTTTTTATAAAAATAAAAGATTAAATTATTAGATTAAAAAAAGTGATTAAATCAGTTATATTTTTTATAAATATAAATTTTATTTTAAGAATATTTATTATATTAAACCGTGTAGTTAATAATTTATATATTTAATAATACTAATAAAAAAATATAAAATATTTTAACAATTAATACATCTTGAATCTACATCTATTTTTTATAATAAGGAAAAAAATACTCTATTTTATTTTTTATAAAAAGACTGGAAATAGTACTATTTTAAAAATAATTTTTTATTCTTAAACATAAATTTTAATATAAATTTATATTAAAATTTATTTGTAAAAATAAAAAAAATTTCAAAATAATAATCAAACATATTATTTATATTAACATTTGTAACATAAGATGGGTGAAAGTAATTTTTTTTGTCTAAATTGTTAATTTTATTTCTTATATTTGCTTTTAAATAATTTTTATTAAATATATTTGTTAAATTAAATATATAAAAATATAATAAATAAATTTTTAAAAAATATTTTTAAATACTTAAAAGTATATCTACAAACTAATGTTAATAAGAATTTATTTTTAAACAAAATTTAAGTAGATATTTTAAATGTTTTTGTTATTTATTTTAATTTAAATCCCAGTATTTTTGTCATTAAGTTAAGTTAACATTAAATATTCACCTTTTATTTAAGTGAAACTTTATTTTATTAAAAAAATAACACAAAATTTCTAAGAAATTATACTTTTAATTTTTTATTTTATTACTGTTAGTTGTGCCTTGAGAAACTCCATTTCCACCATCTTCTATAAAGGCACTTATATAATGAAAATAATCTTTTTTTTTTCCAATGAAATAATTCTAATGTGAAGCTTATAAAATTTTAAAAGATTTATTTACACTTATCTTTAACGATTATTTATTTCACCATTAAAATAAAGGCAACTTTTTATTCTTATTTTTAATTATTATTCTCAAATAAAAATCAATTTTTTCAATTTTTAATTTTTAAAATCACTTCTTTCCTCGTTAGTTCTAAAATTTCTTACTACATACATGTTTACACACAGATTTATTTATTTTGACAAAACACCACTTTGGATTTCAATAATTCTGAGTTAAAGTGAGGTGGATCTGCTAAAAGGATCAAAGACTTTCCAGTGCCTTTTTCTCCATAATGCATACACCTAATACCTTCTTAATCGTCATCTTTTCTGAAATGGAAGGGTGCTATTAGACTCAAAAAGTCTTTAAAAAAGGAAGAAAGTCAATATTTTAAGCCTTCAACAATAATTTTCTTGGAATTGACAATGCTAAAGGCAACTTATTTAACGAATCATTCCTTTCCATAAAATGATCCACTTTGTGGATATTATTGAGTTATTGACCCATAAATATTCATTAAAATCTTTATGCAGCAAGATTACGGGAATATTGCTATATCTAATCATGAATTTTTATTTTGACATTATTTATTAGAACTCTTTTGAAAAGGAAGCCACATATAAAAACCTGTCTTTGACTTAAGATTTGTTTAATTTGCTATAGAAGAGGAAGATTATCAAGTGAGTTGAATTTTCTCCTGATGTAAAAGAAGAATGATAATTGAAGGGCTTGGGTTAGTATTTAGCAACACAACCAGGGAACAGAAGCTATATTATGGAGTATGGACTGTAATAATATTTAGTTTCGAATTAATTTTACTCAAATCCAAAAAATTCTAATGTTGGACCAGAGATTTTTTTTTTCTTTTAATTTACAAACAACTAGTCATTGTAATAACATTTGCACAATCATATGCAACACAAATGATTATTTAACTTTTGTTGATGTATTTCACATATTATTTCTCTGTATCTTCAGGTTGGGTATCGTTGTTGAACATGATCCGTGGCTTGCCCATGCTGAAATTCAGAACCCTTGCATCCATGTTATACTTGATCACTCCATCATATAACAGTTTTCTTATATAGTGCTCTATGTCCGAACCAATCAGGCGAAGTGTGTATTCTGTCAATGGAGCACCCTGCTTTGCATCAGCACAGGTTAGTATTTCAACTTAGAGAACAAGCTTTAGCAGAGGTAACACAAAATGGAATCTTTTTTCTGGTCCAAAGCTGTCAAAATTTGCCAGCTTAATTACTATACTGTCCATATTGTTATAACTCAACTATCCCAAAATCAACCCTCACTCCAAGAACCTTTTGGACTTGAAGCATGGATAATTTCATAAGTCCACGTAGTTTGTGTTGAAATTCAACTTTTTATTAGTAGAATGAAAGTGGCAATGATCGAACACTTGATCGCTTAGTTATAAAATAAAAGTCCTAATATCATGTCAATGAAGTAATGAACTAATTATTCCAAAAGCTCAATCTACCATGTGATACTAAAATGGTTTTACATTACATCTATTTGAAACCTATTTGGAAGAACTTATAAACAACTTATGACTCTCATAAGCTACTTGTTATAGCTTATTAAAACAAGTTGTTTTTAGCTTATTTCAATAACTTTTATCATTTTAAGAAGAATTTATTGAATAAGTGTTTAAATAAGCAGTTATTCAAATGCACCCTCAATGTTTAATTGGCTTAGATCTGACACATCTAAAATTAAGTGACTTCTTCCTCACCGTGGCTTGTTGGATTACCAACTAAACTTGTGAATATGATTTTTTAGACTGTCAAGCATAGCCTAAAATCTATCCCTACATTTTTTTCTTTCTATTTATAATCTATTTTCAGGTTTCTACCACACTTTGCTAAGCAGAGGCCTGCATGTTAGGTGAGTTTAGCCTTGAACTTACAGATACTTTTGTTTTTGGTTCCAAAAAGTTTAGGTGAGTTGATTTCGAAAGAGCTCACCGGGATCAAATCATGTCTAAAGGTTCAAAGAGTGCTTACAGATGTACTTACTTATCACGTCCTTACTTATCATCCACAAATTCAGTCCTCTTATTGGTAGTGGGATTTAAACCCTCTATCCTTGTGGAATAGAAATCCAATCCTTACCAAGTGGAGCAGCTTTCGTTGGCTTGAACTTATAGATTTAGATATGAGTTTGGTATTTGTAACACTATTCTAAACACAGAAAGAAAACAAACTGGATTGTGTTTAAGGAAACTACCTCGTAGTGATCCACAAGCTCCTGAAAGTAAGAATAAACCATGTTGCAGGTCTCAGGATTCCACACAAACTCATCACTAGGATCAAGAATAATGGTGAGCTTATCCATTTGGGTCTGATCAAATGCACTAGTTTCAGGGTCGATATACGCAGCATAGATCCTCACATGGCGAGTGACACTGCTCAACCACTGTCCTCCATATTCCCTGATCATGTTTTTGCTTTTTACATTCCGCTGAGGTTCCACTGGCCTTGGAATTGTTCCTTTTGGCTTCGGTTGCTGACTTTCAACTTGTTCTTCTTGCACCTTCACTTTCTCTGCTTCCTCAACATCAGATTGTTGTTGAGCTGAAACGAAAAATGCTCTCCTGCTTCTCACTTCTCTTCTTCCTCCAGTCCAACCCAACATGGATAACTTGGTTGAGACCATGTAGGAGCAACTTGTGGCCATGACTAAAATGCGAGGGAATGTAATGTTAGTAGAAAGCCACGAGAGTCTTATTAGTTTGCTTGTAGTATAGCTTGGTTAGGTCCTTCTACTACGGATAAGATTTGTTACATAACTCGAGAGAAATGTTTGTGGTCAGAGAAGAATGAAAATTTTCTTCTATGGATACCACTTTTCCAATTTTACCCATGCACGTTATTTGTTTATAATAAGAAATAAACAATTGAGTACATTCTATCCATACTATGGGGACTTAAATCAATTTTATTTATAAGTTTCCTTTTTCTCTCTTTTATTAGGGTGCTACTAAACATTGCGTGAAAGGGCATCATCCCCTTCAAATTTTTTACTTAGTAGACACCCTTGAGAGTGGGTTATTGATAGGGTTAAGAGTACCCCCACTTCATCATACATACACACGTACACAAGTTAAAACATAATCTCAGACACATGTTGCTTCTGGATAACAAGGACAAAATGTCTAATGGATAAGCGAGGATCATCCGAGCCACCATGTACCCAAAATGAAATTACTCTGATTAAAAACTCCTCTTAATTACTTTGTCATTTGCCATCTTCGAAATTTATCATGAAAATAGTTCCTTTGAGTAAAATTAAATTTGATAAAAATAATTTTAAATCGTTGAATATAATTAAAATATATACTAAAATTATTTTTAATCGTAACGTTTTACTAAAAGCTGTATTTTTTTAATTAGAAAATATAAGAATTGATTTTTTAACCGGAAAAACAAACTAGGACTTGGCAAGCTCACTGTATGATAAAGAGACATTTGGGCAAAGTATTGACACAATTCCCACAGGCATAGTAGAGAGACTGAATGGAAGATAGACTTGCAAGAATTTTGTGAAGATGGGACCCTTAGGACTGAGCAAAACTCTAATTTTAGTAATGACTAATGGTATAAATTCTCCTGTGTCATGTTCATAGTCGTTGCCACTCTTCACCAATACGACAATTGATACCTATACTATACGGTCGCATTTGTCAAAACTCTCATAATCTGCTGCATTCCCAAGTAAAATTATGCGCATAATGATAAAGCCAAGCAAAAAAACAAACCTGTGCATTTTTTTCCATGACAGCACAAAAGAATATCGAAATCAATAACAAATAATATGTTTCAGCTAAAAGGGATTTTCATAAAGCATATATATTTGCATAACCCGACAAGTATACTGCAGCAGAAAGAAACGGATTATACGTGAGGACTTGAAAGGTAATAGATATTCGAGCCAAAGCACATTGAAATGAAAAAAACCAATGGACGAAATTGCTATGCCTTAGTAGGATGTACAGTAATGATCCTTATGCTCTAAGGTACAACATGTTCATCATTTTACATTACACATTTCAAACCTCGATCGAATTGAGATCAAGGACCAAAAAAAAAAAAAAGAAAGACACAAATTCAAGTAGAATGAAAAAGGGGGAACTCGCCAAACAAATTATAAGGCGTTGCTTCCTCATTATTAAGGAAAGGAGGAGGGCACACACAAACAACCTCTCATCCTAGATTTGTTTAATAAAACCCGCGGAAGATGCCAACGTTAATGGAAGAAAAGGCACAAAAACACTTTATCTACAAAAGCATTAAGATAAGAGGATAGAGCTTCTACTAGTAATGTGCTAGTTGTTTCCTCAGTCAAAGCTCGATGTGCGGCTCCACCTGCTTCTCAAGTAGTCCTCCAATGAGATGCCTTGTTCAACACTGCACATGGAGAGTGAGTCATCCTCCACATCAAGCAGTGCAAGATTAAGATGTGACTGTAGATTACTAGGTGGACACGCTTCGTCATCAAGCATTTCTTGTGCTTCCAAAGCATTAACCTCTAACCTTGCCCACTTGATTGCATCGGCATCACCTTGAAGGAGCTTTGAGATCTGTTGTCCAATAGAATATATGAGATTTTCAATGAAGGACAAATGTTGAAAATGAGAGTATTTCTACGGTGATCAAACAAGAAGATTAAGTCAAGAGTATGCTATAAAGTTCAGGTACCACATGATTTAGGATAACCAAAATGCTAAAAGTCCGGTCATTGTCTGGGAAATTACACCCCATATGCTACAAAGGACATTTTCCTGTGTATTATTCTATATGACATAGAGCGCATAATTTGCAATAAAGTCAAAAGTGGACCACTTACAAGGCTCATTTGAGGCCTAGCTCTTGGAGCACGTCTGATACAAAGACTGGCTGCCAAGACCATCTTTTCCATCTCCTCATGATCATAGTTATCACCCAAACTAGGATCCAACAATTGTAACACTTTTCCACTATTTAGAATTGGACTTGCCTGCAAGTGTGTTTCAATTATTTTTTTCACAATAGATATGATTAGGAAATAAGAAGTAAATGATGTCATAGCAGAGGCACATACCCACATAATGAGACTCTCTTGACCCTTTGGACAATCACCATTTATGGGCTTTCTCCCTGAAAGAAGCTCAAGGAGCACGACACCAAATGCATAGACGTCAATTTTATCATTTACTTTGCCATACATGAAGTATTCAGGAGCCAAGTAACTGCATAAACGAGTGTAACACATAATTTAGGACCATTTGTAGTATATTTTCTCAATGCAGCATGTATGGACAAAAAGGGATGGTATAATTATGCAGCATTTGATAGCACAAACCCAAAGGTTCCAGCAACATCTGTACAGGTTATATGTGATGACGAGGTTGATGCCCATTTTGCCAATCCAAAATCAGAGAGCTGAATAAAATCAAACAGAACATGAGAACTGATAAATTCAAATTATTCCAAGTTAAAAGTCAATCAATTGAAAGATATATACCTGGGGTTCAAAATCCTCAGCTAATAACACATTTGATGATTTTACATCTCGATGAATCACAGGCTGATCATCTTTAGAATGCAAATAATCCAAAGCCTCAGCAACACCCTTTGCTACCTTATATCTTTCATTCCAACCAAACACAAGTGGATTTTTCTTTTTCCCTATTTTGGAATCGAATAGAAGAATGCAAACAAGTTATCAGACCATATAGAAAAATTAGGTGAGGAGGAGGCATGGTAATGTACATTTGTATACCATGAAGGTTCTCTTCGAGGCTTCCTCTTGATAAGAAATCATAGACCAGAAGAAGATTTCCGTTCTCAAAGCAGAATCCCAGGAGGGAAATAATGTTTTTGTGATTCAAGGTAGTGATAATTTCTATTTCCAAGAGAAACTCCTTCAATAAATGATCAGAAGGTTTTAGGATCTTGACGGCAAGCTCCTTCCCATCGGGAAGGCAGCCTCTATAAACCTGACTACTTCCTCCTTTCCCAATCAAATTTTCTGAAATCACATCAGTAACCATATTAAAAAAATAAAAATAAACCTGTTTTGTTAAATTGAACCCAGTCAAACTAACACAAGGAAACAAACCAGGCAAGAAATTTGATGTTGCTGATACAAGTTCTTGGTACTCAAACAATCTGCAAGTTGACGAGTATTTATCATGAAGGCCCTCCAATTCTTTAGGAATGCTTCTTGAATTGCGTTCAGGCGAAGAAGCAGTCCCTATTTCAGCATCTACGGGAACAAGAGCACCACTTTCACTATCTAAAGCCGCAGGTTGATCTTGACCTTGATCACAAATGTTAGATTTTTTATCATGATCTGCAACATATGAAATATTTCTGCAGGGCAACCTCATTGCCCACTGGACCACAGAGATCTGTTGGCGCACCAATGATCTATCAGCAGATTGCCTATCTGATAAAATTCTCCGGTGTAGTAGTGGCCAACCTGGTTTCAATTCCGGTTGTGCTGCAACAGTGGTTTGCACAGGCACTATAGCCAAAGAATTCTCTCTACTCTCATCACCATTAGACCCTTCTGCAGATTGGTGGCAAGAAGTGTCTGGCAATGCCATGGTTGTGCCACAAATTGAGCAGTTCTGTTTTCTAACAGTGTCTGTAGAATCCAGAAAAAACTTAGCTAAACTGTGATCCGAAATTTGGCGAGTTTTCTCAGAAGCATCCATCCCTGGATTATCCTCACTTAGTACTTTAGTACTCTTACTGAGTGTCCAATGAATTGAAGCAAGCAAACCATTTCTGTGATGATGATCAATCCCTACAATAATCTCAATGACTGAGAATTCTATTAAGTTGACGAGATTCATAACAATCAAAATTAAGAAAAATCAGAAACCTTGTAAGTCAGCAACATTTGGTGGCGAGTTGTCACGCTTGAACACAACTTTTCCATTGTTAACAGCAAGAACACAACAATCCTTGGACAACTTTTTAGCACAGTACTTAGCTACAAAGGTAGATGACCGGATTTTGTGGAGGGCTTGAGCAGTTCCAACGACAATATGAGTTGCAGAATAACCATTTGCTTCTCGAACCAAAATTTTCTTCGCTGATGAACCGCGGCAAATTTTGAGCTTGAGGTCAACCTAAACCATTTCCACCAAAAAAATTACATGATCACTTTAGAGATTTCAAATAAGAAGCAGCTGCATAAACTTCAAACTATGTAACATGAATTTTTTCTATTTAAGATTTCAGCTAGAAAGCAAAAGGACCAAAAGGGGCACGTCTCAATTTTCATGTCCTTCCTGCATTTCCTAAGCAATTTGAAAACAGAAAATGAATTTGCACATTCCATTATAATTTTTTTTTTAAAAAAAGTCCCACATAGAAAGAAAACTGAGAAATAGAACCTGCTTCAAATTGCAGAATCCTTCATAGACAGCAAGAACAGAGTCAAATGCCTTGACAAGCGAAAGCAGAGACGATTTTCCATCTCCATTAACAATATCTACGCAACCCCATTTCACCAATGAACCTTACACACTAAAAATCGAAAACACAAAAAAAAGAAAAAAATAAATTAAATAAAAAAATTTAAATTTTGCACCCGTACCATTGTTCCCAAGCACATGCAGAGCAACGACGGTATCACCAGGGTGAGCAACTTTGACCAAAGCCCACGTGAGCAATTCTTTGCTGGGAGAGTCCATCTTAATTCCGACCACCACCGTCCGTCCACCGAAGCCGCCGTGGATGGCTTCTCTGGGCGGAACCGTTTGCAGCATTTTTCACGTTAAAGAGACAGGGGATCACAATCAGAGTGATGTCGTTTTGTTGGTGGTGACTATTGTTGGAGACAGTGTGTGAGTGAGTATTACGCTTTGTTTCAACGAGTGTGATTCTGATATAAACACACGCACCCAGCAACCAAGCCTTTGCGTTTGGTTTGGCTTAACCGTCGTTCGGTTTGCGTTTGAAGTTCCCACGAAGACAAAAAATGGGACCTCACTTCAAACTTGAACCATAACTTTCAGTTAAAATTATGATTAACACGTGGCTTTTTGAACAAGATACTTGCAACTTTAATGCCTTACTAATTTATTTGTGAAACACATTGGACTCAATAGTTTTTAATAAAAATTTACTGTTTATTGATTTTTAACAAGGAAGAAGGTTCCGTGTGCCAATAGAAAACTACAAATTGCAGCTATTTTATTTATGTGGGAATTAGTATTGTTACGTCATTCTCATTTCAATAACATGATGCTTTTATTTGCTTCGTTTTCAATCATTGTGTTAACATCCATCTACATATTCTTGATTTCTTTCATATATGTTAAGGTCTGAACTCCGAAGCTACCATTATTAGTGCTTCAATTGTATTTCAAACCCTTAACCATCCCATTTTTCACCTTCTCTTATTGCTTTCAACGACCATTCAAACTGTTTGATTTTCCTCAGTTTTTCTTTCATTGTCTCTTCTCTTTGCAAAAAGCTAAAGGTAATTTCAATTCCACTAAGCTAAAGATGTTGTTGCCATGGTTAAAAACGTTCAAATTATGTCTGGTTCTTACTATTTTTTATTCAGATAATTTATAATTATCCATAAAGTAATGTAAAAATGTTATATAAATTATTTCTATATAATGTATTTTTCATTTTATATAGCCATCTGTCGTTTTTACTTTGTAACATTTGTTTATTTATTTTTAGTTTCTATATTATATTAAATCAATATTTTTCTCTTTACTTAATTTTTTGATTGAAACTAAATTTTCTCAATCAGCATAGTTATAATGAAATCTCATTAATACAATAATTTATTAATTAAAGTAATTGATATTAATATTTTTCATAACTTAAAATTTTGAATTCCTATATTTTTAATATAATTTTATCATCAATAAGCTAATTTTATTAATAAAATAATTTTAAATATATTTTAGGTCTCTTTTATATTAAAATATTTGTTGTATGAGATATTTTCTTGTTGATTTGAATATTAGGTAGGTGAACTATTAGTTAAAGAATTTGTATTAACACTTAAATTTTCAAATATGATTAATTGAATAAGGGATTGAGAATCTTATTGAGGATACTGAATGAAATTCTCTAAATTCGAGATTTTTTTTTTTTACGAGATACTATTATTTCTGCTCCTATGATTATTCATTTCATCTTTGTCCAAAGAAAAAACAACCCAACAATAAATGGATGGATTATTCTAGAATTGGAAACGTCAGAAAAAAGAAAGAAAAAAAAAATACTAAAGACAACAATCTTTAATAATTTAAATTATCTTTATTTATAATTTTTTTAAAAATTGAATGAAAGAATATTATCATATTTTAAGATAAGAAAAGTTTTAAACTAAAAATCATTCATAAATTACTTTATTTACATTCTTAAATAAGCAAGTGAAATATCAAATGTTAGGCTCTATTTTATTCAATTTGATTAATTGCTTTGGGTTAATTTAACTTCTTTTTTTATACTAAATAAAATTAAATTATTTTTTTTACGTAAACATAAAATTATATATAACTAAATATTAAAATTCTGTTTATTTGGAATGATTTGAGAAAACAAATAAAAGAGGGGGAGAGATAAAAACAAAATATTAAAATTAATCATTTGAAAGGAAATTAGAGAAAAAGAAAAAAAAAACAGGTGAATATATAACATCTATTAAAAAAAAAGTTTCTCTCCATATCTCTTTCCTGTCAATTAGACAAGAATAAAAAGGAAAAAATATTGTCAAAATGACTTGAAATAGCTGATTAATAATATAATTTGAGATGTGTAAAACAATGTTATTAACTATTTCAGTGTAGTTGAAAATCTTCTAAGATACAGCAGACTCTTCTTGTTTGAAAAAATAAGACTCTCAAGAATTAGCAAGCTTATCTAAACTCATAACCCAAAGAAATAAATATAATTAGAAAAGTTTGTGCATCTTTTGTGAGGGTTCGTGCAGTTTTCTTAAAATATTTAAAATACTTTAATCACTATAATTGTTCACATAAACGTTACATATAACTGAAGATACAATTAAATTAGAATAATAAAATAAAACTAATAATTAATAAATTCTTTTAAAATATAATTATATTATGTTTAACAATCCTCCACTTATTTCAAAAAATATATAACATAATAAAATAAATTATTTTAAAATTAAGTTATATCATGAATGTAAATGCTTGAGTCTGGTATCTTCTGGACTATGAACCAAACCTAGATAAATAGGACCTTAATTAATAATGTAATCGATGAAGTAAAACTTCTATGAACCAATACATTTTTTTATGTAATTAGAGTCCCATTTGATCACATATAAACCATACATTTCTCTTGCTGTTAACGTTGTGTTGTGCTTTTTGGCCATGCACGTGCTTGGATGTTCATGCATACTTTAGCGACTAAGCTATCATCTCATAGGAGCGGCCCCACTCCACACTCATATCGATGATTCTATCATGTGTATACTGCACTTTATACATAACCCATAAGGGAATAGAATTCATTAAAGCTTCTGCTTATCCTCACGTTTATGCAATCTAGTACTTCTCATATTTCTCACACTATAGGAAAAATAAATAATGTACTAGCAAGACTAACAATTGACTTGTTATTATTCATATGAACCTTTTCATGGATCTCCACTCATAAGGTTGGGTTACTATCAATGTTAGATATCAAATTAACTTAAGTTTCATTCCCCTCGATGTGGTATTTATTAAATTCTTTTCCAAAGGCTTAGTCAAAGGATCTGCCAAGTTCAAATCTGACTTCACATAGTCAATGGATATAATTCTATCCTTTAGCAGTTGTTTTATTATCTCATGTTTCAACCTAATGTGTTTATTCTTACCATTGAAGATTTTATTTTTTGTAATAGATATTGCCGCTTTATTATCACAATGTATAGACACAGAAGGAGTTGGCTATATTCCCAATGCAATATTATCTAAAAAATTTCTTAACCACTCAGCCTTAGTTTCAGTTTTCTCCAAAACTATAAACTCTGATTCAATGGTGGATTTTGCAATTATTTTTGTTTTACTGAACTCTAAGTCATTGCACCACCACCAAAGGTGAAGACAAAACCACTAATGGATTTAATCTCATCTGAATCTGAAATATAATTAGCATCACTGTATCTTTCTAATACAGTTGAAAATATAAGTAAGATCATAGTTCATGGTACCTTTCAAATATTTTAATAACCTAGTCAAAGCGATCTAATAATTATTACTAGGATTATGAGTATATCTACTCAATCTGTATACAGCATATGCAATATCAAGTCTAGTGAAATCCATCAAGTACATCAAACTTCCAATGATTTGTGCATATTGAGACTGAGCAAATGGTTCACATCTATTTTTCTTCAACTGGGTGTTAGCATCATGAGGGCTATTCACTGGTTTGATATCAACATATTTGAATTTATTTAGAATTTTCTCAATATAATGTTCTTGTGATAGTATTATACTATCATACTTCCTTATGATTTTAACTCCCAGAATTACACTAGTTTCACCCATATCTTTCATGTCAAGTTTAGATGTAAGAAAATATTTTGTTTGATGCACTATGTCATGGCTAGTACCAAAAATAAGCATGTCATCCACATATAGACAAATAATCACACATTCACCATTTTCTAATTTTGTGTACGCACTTCAATAGTAGAAAAATCATTACTAACTAAAGTTTGGTCAAACTTATCATGTTATTCCTTAGGAGTTTGTTTTAGACCATATAAAGATTTGAGGAGCTTACAAACTTTATTCTCTTGTCCAGGAATTACACACCCCTCAGGTTGGACCATATAAATTTCTTCCTCTAACTCACCATTTAAAAAGATATTTTAACATCTATTTGATGAATAATTAAATTATATGTAGATGCTAAAGCAATCAAAATTCGAATTGAAGAAATCTTTGTTACAGGAGCAAAAGCATCAAAATAATCAACATTTTATTTTTGCGTAAAGCCTTTAGCTACCAATCTAACCTTATATTTTTCAATTGATCCATCGGAGTTGTATTTCTTTTTTAAAAATCCATTTGCACCAAATTGGTTTCACTCTAGGAAGTAAATCTATCAAAGTTCAAATATTACAATTTGTAATAGAATCAAGTTCAGATTGGACAGCTTTTTTCCAAAATAATGCTTCAGTTGAGGAGAAGGCTTGTGAAATAGAAAAAGATTCATCATCAATAAGATATGTGTAAAAATCATTTCCAAAAGATTTTTCTTTTCTTTATCTTTTACTTCTTCTCAAATCCTCATGAAAAACATCAAGGAACCATGTATTGGTGTTTTACCAAAATTTTCTAATTTCAATGAAAAAACATGTTAAAAAAATTCATTATTTTTTGTTTCAATTATCATCTTACAATCAAGCATATTACTTTTTAAAACTAAAAATTTATATACAATACTATAATCAACATAACCAATAAATATACAATCTGACGTCTTAGAACCTATTTTTCTCTTTTTTGAATTAGGTAGTATAACTTTAGCAAAACGACCCCACACCTAAAATTTCAAATTAGGCTTATGTCCCTTCTATAACTCATGGTGTTTTACTTGTTCTTTTATATGGAATTCTATTTTGTAAGAAACATGCTGTTAACAAGGCTTCATCCTAAAGATTATTAGATGCGTTAGAATTAATTAAAAGAGCATTCATCATTTCCTTTAATATTATATTTTTCCTTTCGGTTATTCCATTAGACTGAGGTGAGTAGGGAGGTGTAACTTTATGAATAATTCTTTCTTTTTCACAATAATAATCAAATAAGGTATACTCACCACCTCTATCTGATCTAACTCTTTTAATCCTTTTATTTAATTGATTTTCTACTTCTACTCTATATAGAAAAAACATGTTAAAAGTTTTATCTTTATTTCTAAGCAAATATACTTTGATATATCTAGAAAAATCATCAATAAAAGTCACATAATATTTTTTTCACCTT